GCCGGAGTTAAACCACGACACACCGTTACACGAGTGCCTCTGTTCCCACTCAATCACTACATGCTGCTGCACACACAGGGTTTCTCCTCCCTGTGCAGTCTGTCTTGCTGTAAAGGACTCTGGTCTGCTCTGCATTGGGGAGAGGACATAGCACATCCCATGCACACGTGGTTTTGTGAGAAACATGAAAAAATGGGACTGAAATGCCTGGTTTAGGATGAACACTGCAGTTAGAAGATTCATCTTGTCTCCAGACTTGTGAAAGGCAGAAGTTCGTCCTTTCAGCCCATGCACGTGGACCTTCTCCTAAAACTGCCAATGCCTGTCCCTCCTCTTTCTACCTCTCCTGCAGAAAAGCCCAAGAGCTTCCCCTGCTCCAAAGCACGTCGTGCGACGATGCTCCCGTGCCATCACACCATGGCTCACGGCTGGTGACAGCGTCATCGGCGTGGCAGCAACAGACGTTGGGTGTGACGCTGGGGGAGGCAGGGCAGGTGGGTGCTCAGCTGCACAACCCAGGCACCTGCTCCCGCCCGGGTCAGACGCTTTCCTTGGGATGCTCCTTCCCGGCAGCCATGGCCATCATCCCGTCCCACTGCCTTTTGGGGTTTGAAACCCTGTCCCCTCTTCCACCCCTCTCCCCGGGGACCTCAGCGTACCAGAGCGATAGCTCCACTTCCACCTACGGCTTATTCCTACCAGCCTTTTCCAAGCCACCTCCATCCTTTTGGCCCATAACTCCAGGCTGAACTGCAGCATCTCTATTTTACAGTTGAACTCATCATTTTTGCCTGAAAACAGTGAGGTATTAGGGTTTCTGCTGCTCCCTTGTGACAGAGTGTCAGAAGTGACACTCGGATCAAAAACGTGCCTGCCTGATGCCGTCTGCTGTCAAAGGGGCGAGCGCTGGGGGTGGCAGCTCAGACCCCTTCCCCTCGCTCCTCTCCCACCGCTCCTGCCAGCAAAGCTTGGGCAGCGTCCCCTTTCCTCAGTATCCCTGCTCGGAAGCGGCTGATGTCAGCCACGTAATTAACGGGCGGAGGAGTCGGCTCTAGTTAGTATAAACTCAGCAGTTTTGAGGTTTTCCATTCGCAGTTGGAAGAACCAGATGCTTTTACTTTTAAATTAATGACTCCCGTGTGTTGCTCTGCATCGCTTACTGACCGAACACGGCGTTTATTGCCTGTCTGGGTTCTACCGAGTTACTTCTCGGGCTGGGACGGTGTTTTGTGCGCAGCCACCCTACACACTTCTTCACCTGACTGCTTTGTACCTCTGCTTATAAAGGGGAGACTGATCTCCTTTTTATTCCAGAGATTATGCCAATACATCCAAAGAGGAGCATGCACCAGTGCCAGCCCCGAGGGGTACCTACCTTTGGTTTCATATTTGAATACTTCCACGTTATTATAATATATTAAACCGTTAAAATGAGTTTTGTTATTTCAAATGTAAAGTCTTGTTTGCTTTGTCAAGGATAAGGGAATTATTATTTTTAGATCGGTGAGTTCCTGACTTCTTCCCTGTGGCTGTTTAAATGTCTGAGATCTAATTTCTGCATAACCCTGCAACATAACATACTCAAACACTTGTGAATTCCCGAAACGGGGAGTCAGCACCATGAAGCCATTCTCCTCTCCCCAGGGAATTCTCACAGTTTTAGAAGCCACACTCTGTTATAATTTTAAGATTCTTTTACTAACTTTCTCCCCACTTTTCCAGTCCCTTCCCAGCTCACCCCATGCTCCCCATCTCAGACTCGGGGTCTGCGCCCGACAGCTCCCACGTGGGGTTTGAGGCACCGGTTCTGACAGACAAAGTGCTAAATGGTCTGAAACCTGCCCGTGAGACCTCTCCTCGCCTTTCCCCAGCTACAAGAGGAGAGCGGAGGCATTCAGCCTGCCGGCTCTCTGCCCAGGAAAGCGAGCCAGCCCACCGTGGGCTTTGGGCTCCTCACCCTGCACGTGGCCAGGGAAGAATATTGAGAAGCACCCTTGTGTGCCATCACCTAAGAAAAGTTAACGAACAGCAAATCTTGGGAGCTTGGTGATTAGGCAGAATTAGTCCTGCAAGCTCGCTGCCTCCAAGACCCGTCGTTTTAACTGGATGTAGTATGCACATGCTTTTATGTTTAGTTTTAATGGCTATTTTATGATGAGAAGATCCCTTGAGTCTGGAAGCTGTGGGCTTGGATTTACATTAATCTAAGTAACAACAATACCGTTTACAGACCCAAAAGGCTTGTTTCAGACACTGAACATACACTTCGGCTTTCGGATCTAACTCCCACTGTTAATTTATTCAACAGTTCATCCAGATCTATATAAAAAAAGGTCCCAATCCAAGACCAACTGAAGAAAATGGGATTCTCTCTGTTCCATTAGCAGAAAATGTAGCAGGGTGCGTACTCCCAAGTACATAAATTTAGTCTTGTACTACATCTGCAAATTATCTGCAGGAGAACGTAAATGCTACTTTGAGCTACCTATGAAAGCTGACTCTTCTCAGTTTTGCATTAAACCAACAACTGAGTTGTCTGAGGCTCACTCTGTGCTGGCTTTCCATCATCCAGAGGTAAAAAAAAGGGGGAAAAAAAAAAAACCAAACCCACATATATGTCTTTCCCTCTTTCTTGCAAGTGCTGAAGGTTCAGAGCTCCCCAGCACCTTTGCAGTCATATACATCCAGCACGTCTGTCAACAACAGTTTAACAAAAAATGATGGACCGTTAGATTTAACATAATATTTGAGCATTAAGAGACAACAGGACAGTACATTTCCTGCAGCTCACAGCAAGCCTCAGGTGGTAACACCAACTGAAACAGAAGGCACAAGTTCGGCGTCGTGAAATGCTTTGCTTAGTCTTTCCTGCTGCTGCTGTGGCACTGAATATGCTCATGAAGAAAGGAATTGGTCCATGTTATAAATAGAAAGGTGATTATCACGCTGGAAACGGCTAATTGCATCCAGAGTGCTAAAACCTGCGCTACAATATTTTCTACATAAAATATGTTTCTGCTGCAACTCCCCCCGTAACGTGTACAATATATTATGCATCTCTGGAAATAGGATGCAGACTAATTTTTCCAGCAGAATAAAAACCTTTATTGCTATATACAGATCAATTATTTTGTTTTAAAGAATGCTTTAGGATATGGTCAAAGTGCAATAGTTATGACTGCTCTGAAAACTCACAGAGATGAGCAGCTAATGCTCCTAAAGGGGAGCAGCTGGCCAGTGAGGAATGAGCTGACAGATGGCTTTCTATGAAAATGGTCATTAATATTCTCATGTCAGCTCCCAGGTTTAATGGGGATGTTTGAGCTGAGAAATCCAGCACTTGGAAGCCAGGAAATTCCAGAAGCTAGAAGGTGTGTGTGGTCAGTCAAGGGACAATATCCACTTGCTTTTGCACCAATATGTGAACTTAACAGAATCAAGAAGCTCTTAGACAAGCTAAAAGCTATAAAACAAAATTCCCTATTAAAAAGCCATAATCTACTTGTTCGATGAGCTACTTTTAAACTAAAGATGACCCTACAGCAATGGCTGTTATTCATAGCACTAATGATCTGTAAGCGAAGCTGACTTTCACTGTTATTTTTTCAACAACCAAAGCACACACAGTTTTTAGGGTTCAAGCAGAGAGTGCTACCCTGACCCCCTCTTGAATGCTGTGATGTGCAGCAGCTCAGCTCGAGTCTGTGGACTATAAACCTGTGGTCTAGACCACTCCTGGCACAACTGGGTGAAAATTTGTACACATTAAGCTTTGGTTGAAAGTCTTGTTCGTGAATCAACCTTCCCATACCAACACCCTTGGCAGGAAAACCTATGAAAATTATTTTAAAAAACCCAAATCCTTTCAAGCAGACTTTTTAACACCTTTCTGGTTATTACACTTAAAAAGCTGCAATTACTAAAGCATGTTTAAATGGTAGGCTCATTATCACAATTATCACTCTCACAGCCCAGCCACAGACAGCCTGATTACGCCTCACTTCTGAGCACAGAAACTAAGACCACAAGGAAACTAAGAAACAACCCCAAAAGGCACGCAGTAGGGCTGTTGGTAGCCGACACCTCCAAAAACCTGCTGCTTAAAGCTCGGCATTGATTTCAGGACAGCCTGCTGGACTTGTCATCCTGGGGGACAAACCCAGCCCGGCGGTGTCCTCTCTCTTCCACCTGGGTCCCCCTGGGTGGGCAGCATCCCCAGCAGCACGAGTGGGTCGGCGAGCGCCGGCTACTTACTTCCTCTCTCCTTTGTACCACTCAAAGACTGGGGCAGGAACTCCTGCACCTTCGCACCGTATCAGTCCGTTCCCTCCAAGCATCACACCGCTGGATTTAAGTTCCTGAATTGTGGGGGCAACTGAAAAAAAAGAATTGTAAAAATGGATATTTGCATCTAGATACGCAGATCGTTTAACGCCGCTTCCCTTCAGCACGCTCTACGTTACTCTCAACCTGGTGCGTGTTTTCCATGTTGATTCACATTCAACCACGTTTTCTTCCAGCAGTGTAAAAATTATCCCACACAGCAGATTCTGATATATAGCCTGCGTATCTGGTGTAAAAAAACATAACTGAGACATGAAGAAATATCAATCCCATACTCAAAAAAGCAGGTTTTGCAACTCAGTTACTCAACATAAAGCATAACTATTTGTGTTAGTGACATACAAGATGTATTTAAAACCTCAGAATCAGTAAAAACCTTGAGATGCCCCAACACGGGTGCTGGCTGAGAGGCTGTGGGTCCTGCTGTGCTCAGCCAGGGGGAGACACCCCAGCTGAGGAGGGGTACAGCAGCAGGGTCCACAGCAAAGGGAACATGGCCAGCACCAGTTATTGTCTGCATCACATCTTCTGCACACACCTCATAAACCCTCTCGGCTCAGATGGTCTTTGAGTTCTTGTTCTGCATATTAAAAGAATAAACTTACCTTCACAAGTATGAGCCAGCTGTAAATACCAACAACAGCAAGACTGTTCCAGCATTGCAATGGATGCCGAGTTGTTTCAGTAAATATACTTTGTCTTTTTAAATTGTAAACATTGTAAATAGCAATAAACATTTTAAGCTTAGAACTACAGATGCGAGTAAAGAGCGATTGTCAGTTTTTCCACTTGCCAGCAAAAGGCAACGTAAGCTGAAAGTACAACACAACAAATTCCTCAAGAAAGAGATTATCAAAGGAAAGGCTGAACAGCAAGTGCTTTCTCCCTGGGACTTCTTTTACATTTTCTGATTTTAAACAATAATTTATGTGCATTGTAAAAATACTATAAAAACCAAAACACAGAACTTATAAATAAAAATCTGTTTATATTTTCCCCGAGCAGTTTTCCAGATGTTGCTTTAAGGTGTTTATGTACATGTAAAACGCTGACTGCCTCGCGGCTGCTTCTTTCACCACCTCACCCGTCGCTCAGCGCGCCGCGTTGGGACCATCGTCTTTTACGGGAACCAGCCACACTAAAGAAGCATCAGATGTGTGAAAGAGCAGAGTGACAGCCAGGTTCCCTGCATGGACGGGTCAGCTCCATCGCACACCTGTCCTTCACCAACACCATCGAGTTCTGCTTTTCCAGATGTGTGGGACATCGCACGGGAATCCAGCTGACACAGCCCAGGGAAAGCAAACGCGGGCTCTCAGCACTCAGGTACAAGTCTCAATGTTTAACAAAACTGGGTGAGGAGTTTCGCGTGGGATTACACAGACCTGGTTCTCTCTCGCCCATCACTCACGGCCTGCCCCAGCTCAGTCAGACGGACTACCATTTCCAACAGCTGGCAAACACCCTTCTGCTTTCAACTTTCCCAATGATTACATCAAACCAATCCATAAGTTCATTAACTTTCAACTGGCAACATTAAAATTTCAAGTGGATAATAAACGTATAATCAATTTGCATGACTATTTCTCCATTATCTGCACAGGAAAAAGATCAGATTTTTTTTTGTTATTCCATAAAAATAAAAGGGGTATATCAAGCTTTCTCCTTCCTGAGAAATGAAGCAGTTTGTGCAGCCAAGACTTAAAAAATACCTTTGAGCGAGACACAAAGAGCTGTGAACTGGCTACATTTTGCTTCTGTGCTTCTACAGCTCCATGTGGCACCAGCACCACAAAGCTCGTGGATTAGCTTCTGCGGTGTTCAAAAGAATAACATTAAAATGATGCAAGATGTACCACACAACAGCCAAACTACTGCAAGATGAACTGTACAAAAGCGTCGCCTGGATGATGGGAGGACATGAACGTCTAGTGCACAGGCACGTGGTCAATGGAGGTTGCCGAAAGCTGGACTGTGCCTGGGAGGAGGTCGACCTCTCACACATGGTTTTCACTTGCCCTGGGACTGGGGACTGCCTGCCAGCATTCCCACTGCTTCCTTCAAGTAGTGCAAAACACATTTCTCCAAGTTTTCTCCAAAAGTGTGGCCTGCCTACCTTTGGATTTTTTTTTAATTTGCTTTTAAAATAAATTTAAATAAACAAATAAAATTGTTTGCTTTTTAAATAAATGCAGAACATCACTGGTAATAAATTTTAACATCAAATGATCCGTAAAAACGTACAGCTTGCCAATGTTTCTTTCAGGCAGGAGCCCCAGGCACTGTGTTCCCACTGCAGCTGGGAAGGGGATGCCGGTTGGGTCCCAGCTACAAATAACAATCCCGGGCTTTGCTCTCCAGTGAGGCAGAGTTTGTTTTGGAAAATACTGAAAAACTTCTGGAAAATAAATATTTTTTTATATCTCCATTTCAGAAAGATTTCAGTTTCTTCTTGTTCAGAATAAAAATAAAAATCTATATTCTCTGCTCTAGGAAATCCCTGGTTAATACCAATATGAAAACATGAACCAAAGACAGCGTAGAGACACCATTCCCTTAAATTTTTCACTGTCAGGTTATTTTCTTGTTTTTCTTATAAAGAGAAACTGAGTGATGCCGGCACATTTCTGGTGCACTGATTAGCAATGTGCTGAGCCAAATATCCGTCAGACCCTACTGCTCCCATCGGTGTGGAAGACTGAATAACTCCAGATGAAATTACACACCTAAATACCTGCTGCGGCTGGTTGCCAGGGTTTGTTTTGGAAAGGAGAGAGACCAACACATGGGAAGAGATTCTCGGGCCTCCACTACTTCATATATTTTGTTAATGTCTCTCCATGTAGTCACCAAAGACTCATTTTTGAGAAGATATTGGTGATTTGATTTTGCTGCGGTCAGTCACGCTGCAGTTGTCTGCATTCTTATGCTGCAATTGTTTTTTCCTATGTAAAAGATTTTGAGGTTATAAAAATCAGAAGGAATACTATATTGATCTAAAAACATATCATTTAGCAAGAGAAAAGCTCATAAATGATCTTAGGAAGTGCTCACAAGTTTCAATTCAATTCTGCCATCACAGTTAACCAATATACCTCGGGTTTTTTGGCGAACAATCTCCCCGACACCAGGGTTGCCCAGTGCAGCAGGGATGTGCAAGATCATCCAAATCATCAGGCGAACGATTTAAATCCTGCTCAATCCCAGCAGCAATTAGATATCTCCCCAAACCCCTGGCAGGCTTTCTGCAAGCCATTAGGAGGGCTACCAGCCACACCAACATCGCTGCCCCCCAATACGGCCAGGTAATCCATCACATCACCCACCGCCCCGGCAGCCCACGGCTGCTGTCGGGTTTTTACGGCTGCTTAGGGAATCGATAGCAAGGATAAATATTGGCTATCTAGGAAAATGTTTTCATTCAGGAGTTTAATAATGATGACTTAAACTATTACAGAAAATCGTTCAGTGTCATTAGCAGAGCGATCCTGCTCTATCCAGCTGATTGATCAAACAGATGCTAGCGAGAGTCCGGGGCTGGCAATGGAAGGTAAGGAATAAATACGGACGGACACACGCTTAAAGATCTGATGAAAAATTAAAAGAGTAAAAACCCCCAGCAGCTTTAATAAACAAATTTAACATAAATGAGTTACAGCTGGAAAAATAGTGGAAAAACAAGAGAAATTTTGGTTGAAGTTTCAGCGCAAAAGAATCCGAGGCTGAAGGGTGGCACTGGGTAGCCAAGGCTCCAGCAAACCTTCCTCAAACGCTGCAGCCTCCACAGCTGAGGGCTTTACCAGGCTTTCCCCTCCACAAGTTACATGGGAAGAGACACCAGTTGTGTTGCAGGGACAGAGTCGTGCGTGTGGAGCACTTCATTATAAATATTAATAAACACACAAGCAAGCAAGAAAACATCTCTAAAGTACAGAGCATCAGCAGAGAGTGAAACCCTTTACCTGGAAGAGCCTAGAGGAGGAAAGAAGGGGCTGACAGTCACAGAGTACTCCCGGGGGGGACAATATAATGGAAAAGGACAATATAATGGAAAAGTTCGTGGTCTGACAAAAGATATGGTAGTAAAATGTAACAGTAATGTTAACAAGAAAACCTTGTGTAAGACTAATAATTTTAGAAGTCTTTGTAATTTCTTTTACCTCCTAAATAATGGTTATATAAAATAACAAAGAAAAAAAAAAGATTATATATATATCTGACAGCAGTACTGGGCTTTTGTGATGTACTTTTAGGTTTACTCTCCCTACAGTGGATCCTTGTTCAATCCTCTCCCACAGTTCATCCCTGTGGAGCAGAGCCCTTAAAATAAATGCTTCATTTCCGACTTGAAAATAAATTACTGGAGCTTACTTAATATCAATTTCTCAAATACGTGTAAGTGCTTTGCTGGGAAAGGCTTTCTCGAGTGGGTGCTCAGAGACTTGGCTTAACTGGGATTTTGCTGACGCCCTTTCGCATTTGTCCCTGCACGAAATGGCTCAGGAGGCAAGGCTATTCTTCACCCAAAATACATCTTCATTACACCTGCTGAGCACATATTAATGTATCCCTACCTGAGGGATTTGACATGAGAAAAAAACCAAAACAAAACAAAAACCACCCAAATAAAAACAGCATGGGAAAAGTACAACTGCTTGCTGTCCTTCTTGTTTAGGAAAAAGCCCCACGTGGGACAGAAGCACAGCATAGCAGCAGCCAGAAGACTGGTGTGAGTTATTACTATTAAAAGGGCCTGTAGGGACAGGACAAGGGGTAACGGGTTTAAATTGAAAGTGGGGAGGTTTAGATTAGATATCAGGAAGAAATTCTTCCCGGAGAGGGTGGGGAGGCACTGGGACAGGTTGCCCAGAGAAGCTGTGGATGCCCCATCCCTGGATGTCTTCAAGGCCAGGCTGGATGAGGCTTGGAGCAACCTGGTCTAGTGGAAGGTGTCCCTGCCCGTGGCAGGGGGTGGGACTGGGTGGGCTTTAAGATCCCTTCCAACCCAAACCATTCTATGATTCTGTGATT